CACTCGCCGAAGCGGCTCGTGCGATTTCAGCTTTTTGAAAAACTCACTCATGCAAATTAATTCCAAATTGAACTCGAAACCGTATGATTACCTATACAAATTGTGTAACGCAATGAAATTCCAACAGTATAGAAATATACGTTTTAGTGACGATTTTAGTATAATTTGTCGTCACCAATATTTTATTTTTCAAATGCATATGAGCAAATTATGATGAGGTGACTTCATTACTTTGCTTTACTGTCATTGTCTTTATGGCCCAAAAAATCGACAAAAACGGCAAAACCGTTAACATACCAACCAAGGTGGACCAAAGATCCGTAGGAACCATTTAATTCCCGGCCGTTCGGAAATCCGCCTTATTTGTGAAATCCACTAATCTGCCCTTTTTATCGAAAACGTCCGCAAGAGGCCAAATCCGTCCATGCCCGAACCTATTCACCTCCTACCCTCTTATACAGCAGTTTAAAGCACCCTATTAAGTTAAAATTTGTGATTTAGAGCTTCAGAAAAGAAGCAATCATTTTACTGGACTTGGAGAGGTTCACGTCTTCGTTATAATGATTATATTTATTTGTCACAGTTTCAGTTGTGATCTCGCAAATTTTGTGACGATTGACGAGCATCATTGCATTTCTGCTGTTCTTCTAGTGCCTTCACGAAATTCATCATTTATCAGGGAACGCTTGAGTGGTAATAGTAAAGAGTCGTTTAGAGCTTCTATTGGGCAGTTGAAAGTAGCTTAATGAGGGCTTCAAAAACAGACAATAACTTTTTCGTTTTCGCAGAGCTTCATGTTCTCCGGTTATGATTACTATCAGTATTACTGTTTCGACTGTTTTAATTTGCGATTTTGCGATTTTGTGATTTTGTGATCTTGTAATGACTGGTGAGTTTTTACACTTTGTGTGCCAAGTTGCACTTTTTAATATAACCATAAAATACGAGATATTGAAAACTTTGATCGGGTGCGAATTGCCCCAAATGCGAATCATGCGTACATAAGTATTCAAAAGACATTTCTAAACATGATAAATGAACACAAATTTCGAGCGTCAGCAGAAAGGTTGCGGTTACAGTAGATATATTTACATAGAAACGAGTCTTGAATATGAGCGATTTTGTGATTAGTTTGTTTTTATAACTTGATTCAAATGGCTTAGCACAGTAGTTTAATTTTCGTAGTTTTGTAGTCTGAATTTCAGCCGTCTCTTCTCTTTGCCCCGAGGGGGGCGCGGGAGAGGCGCGCTCTCCCGCACCCCCCTCGGGGTAAAGGGAAGAGACGGCTGAAATTCAGACTAGTAGTTTTGTTATTATGTCAGCTTTGCCATCTTTACATGGAACTACCAATAAATCGTTGCAGGAGCCCGTGGGCTCCTGATTGTTGTTGTTGTAGTGAAAGGTCATGCAGGTGTCCCTAGGGTTACCCTAAGTGCACCAGTGTGAGCCCTATTAATTAGAGTAGCAAAAACATCTGAGCTGTGCTATCAGAACAAAATTATTACTCAAACTCCGACAAATTTAAATGAACACTTAATCTAATGTTCATGTAACAAAAATTTAAAGATAAGTCATCTTTTGACCTAGGCAACAGCTTTCTCGAAAAGCCATAACGGCACAAGCCTTTGAAATGTAAACGTGATCTGATACAAAAAGGAAGAGCCTGTTTTGTAAAAAGTCAAAGTAATAAGATTTATTTTTTTTGTATGATGAGACTAAAATGAAATTTTTAAGTTTGGTGTATGACACTTTTGATAACAGCTCCGTAACTGTTGTTCGTTTTTACACTTGGCCAATATATAATCAACTACAAATATTGGTGACGAAATAAAATCGTCACTAAAACGTATATTTCCAGTTGCTTAAATTGGAAAATTTACTGCGATGATCATTTTTCACTTTCAGGCAGTGAGAATGTCGTCAGTTCTCCTTCCCATGCATCTACTTCCTTTGTCAGATTGTGTAATGCACCTAGTTGAGCCTCTACTTCATGTGTTCCACTAGCAGCATGTGATGAGATTGACGATGAAGAACTACCATAGTTTGGAGCAGCAGTCTCACTGTTAACCACAGATCAAAAAGTGACAAGAATAGCCGCTGTATTTCCTGGTATTCCCTAGCCTGTCATTGGAAGTGCTCTTCATCCTCATGGCAGCACTGAGAGGGCTGTAAACTCCCTTCTCAGCTACAGAATGTCTGAAGGAGAAATTGATCCTGTAGCCAACTCAGTGTCTGGGAGGAAAATTGCTGATCAGATGACAGAGGATGCAGAGACAGTAGAGAAAACTGTACCCAGGTATTTGAGAGGTTGAGAAAAAAAATGCTTCCAAGAGGGATGAGAGAAAAATTAAAAATAGATCCTGAAGATCAAGATATGGATGTCTACTCCTATTACAAGAGTGCAGATTTTGATGCTGTAGTACCAATATCTGAGTTTGTTAAAGACCAACTTGCTGTTGATGCCGTGGGTGTTCTGAGACAAGTGTTTGGTGAAGTCTTCATGTTGCTGTGCAACAATGAAGGCATCAAACACATATTTACAGGAGAGCCGTACAGAAAAGTGCCAGTGTTCAGCAGTGAGCTTGTAGTAAATGACTTCTTTGAGATCTTAGGGAAAATGATTTCCCATAGTCTTGAACAAGGTGGCCCTGGTTTTCACTACTTGTCACCATCCATTTACTGGTACCACCATTCTTCACTTTCATCTACAACTGCAGTTCAAATATGAATTATTTCATGTATACTTCACATCATTTCACTCCTCACGGGAAGATATGAACTCAATTAATTGACCTCGCTCCCGATGTGTGGCTTCATAGATCAGTTGGTAGAGCATCGCGCCGGTATCACGGAGGTCACGGGATCAAATCCTGTTGAGGCCCTGATTTTTTTCAGGCTTCCTCTTTCCAATTGCTTAACTTGGAAAATTTACTGCGATGATCATTCTTCACTTTAATCATACATAATGTTTATGAAAATCAGGCAAAGAATAATCAGTGTCTGATATGCAGTTCATGGGAAATATTTTATTGATTTCCTGTTTTTTAGAAATGATTATTAAAAATTTAATACTGCTATTGCATATTCTGTTAAATGGGAGGTTTCATCGTAATAATAATAAAGTTTTTTTGAGTTGTTTAACCCCACTCATGAAGGGCAGCTCTTGCTCATCATGTAAAGTTCTCAGTAATACAAACCTTTGATAAATACTTAATTGCACCTCAGAATGTTTTTTGACTTATAGATGATCAATTTACATTGCAGCCTGACAATAAGCTTGACGTACTCCAGTCACTCATGCTTCATGATATTCTTGTGAAAAGGAAGTCTATACTTGATCAGTTAAGAAAAGGTCTCTCCACCCTTAGTGTTTTGGCAGAGATTGAATATAATTCCTCGGCGTTATTTGAAGAATTTTTTGTACACCAGGGTGGCCTTAGCAATGATTTTGTGCTAAACTGCTTACATTTTTAAGATTCATGCAAGCAGAATGTAATTGGTGACCGAGTTTACCAAATGCTTCAGACTTTTGTAAAAAATCTATCTGTAGAGGAATTGAAGAATTTTCTTACGTTTGTCACTGGAACATCTGAAGTTTCAATGTCCACCTTGCCACAGTGCGTATCAGTATCTTGCTATAGTGGTGATTCCATTTTCGCCTCACCATGTTTACTTGAATTAAAGCTGCCAAACCATTTACCCATCTATACTTCTTTTCATTTCGGCTATGAGGACAGTTATTGAAGGCTCATCATTCACAACAGCTTGATCATTAATATTAAATGTTGCTAATGTGAATCATTAGTATAGAAAGACACCGATACAACTTTTAAGGTGTAGCCTTGTTCATGTGCTGGCTGTGGGGAAATGAGTCAAATGTTTTAGTCAGCAGATATTGAAATTATGTGAATGAGAAAGACTGTGCTTTCAGGTGCAAGACCATCTGGACACTCTGAAGAAGTGTAAAGGTAGTCTAGCACCTGAAAGCACAGTCTTTCTTTCTTTCAAGTACTTTCAGCTGTTCCGCTGAATAATAGTTTTGTTTACTTGTTGCACTACCTTTAGAAAGGTGATGTTGATAACTTAAAAA